GATTCATAAGACTTTAAATACATTGTACAGACTGTTAGAAGCAGCATTTTGTATAATACTGCATATGAGTTAACAGTATTACTGGGGCAACTGGGAAACAATTTTAAAATGCAGTATAAAAAGTTAATTCTTGGGTATTCATTTAGGTTTTTAAAAAACCATGTCATTTGTGGAAAGCATACTCAACCAAATTCTTAGCAGAGTAAATATGTCAAATTGTTGGGTAACTAACAATTACAGCTCTACAATTAAAAAAATAGGCAACATTGTGGAATTTTTTATGTCAGTCTGGGGAAATAATTGAAATCTTGTATATTTCTTTTGGCGCGTATTGTGGGCAGATTTATACTTCTTATAATTTATCTAAATTATTACTCCAGATCCCACAGCCTGAAATGTCTTATTCTATTTAGTGATCTTTCACAATTGTTGGTGCAAATTTAACCTTTAAAAGCTTAGTCAAAACATAATTGTAGTTATTTGTTATATATGCATTTATAGTGCCTTAAAAAAAAAAGAAAAAGCAAACTGCTTTCAGAGTCTCTCTGTAGGTTACTTTCCTTCTTAGAAAAGGTTCTGCTTTGTCTCTTTATTCTAGTCATGTGCTGTGGGGGCCAAATAATTTGAAATTTTACTTTCATTTAAAATGCTTGCTTAAGAATTGAGACTAAATGGTTCAGGTATTAGAAGCTAACTCTGTCTTTAAGCTACAGACTAGTAAACAGTCACTCATTCAATTCTAACTGAATATGATGTACTACTTTCTCCTATGCTTGTGTTTTAAGTAGACAAAAATAATTTTAATATATAAATATGTTCTGTTTTTTCTGTTAAAACTTTGTTTGATACTACTTTATGGACTTCAAGGCAGACATTTGGAGTATTGTAGCTCTAGCACCAGAGATTGTCAGTCCTCAAACACTTTCCTCTGTTATTAAGCCAAGGTAGTAATCTTGATATTAGCAAGTAATTAGTGCTGCAGGAGCAGATCAGTAGATGAAAGCAGCTGATTCTGAGAATCCTGCATCTTCACTGCACTGTGGTTCAGAGGTGTTATTTTAGACCAGACTTGTGTTCCCTGGACAGAATGCCTATACTGTACATTTATGCAGAGCTGTGTGGAACATCCGTTGGTTTGGTTTCTTCAGGACCCAGCTCTGTTAGGAGTTGGAGTGCTTGTGGATCAGAGCTTCCCCTTCATTTTTCTCCAAAAAAAAAAATCTAGTTTGCCTGTCCCAGGACTGCTCTGTAAACCAATCCAGTATGTGGGAACAATCAAGGAATGTGCCTCAAAACCATAATGTTGTTTCACACCAAACTGTTAACGTAAATGCAGCTGTATTACAGGATTTGTTACCTAGAAATGCTTTTCCACAGACTGAAGGTGTGTTTGCACATACTTTGCAACTACTCTATGCAGATGTGTACATGTCACTTGTTAATAGTTCTGTTCTAAGTTGTATGATTTTTTCTTTCTTGCTGTAGAATTTTTCCCTGAATGAGTTTTAAAAACCTAATATAAAATACCAATAAAAAACAATAAAATATGTCTAGCAAAGAGCAGCAAAAAAACTTGAGCTAATAGGATTTTAAAACAACAAATATTCGGAGCCTAGCTTCCCTCGGTCTCACTTGGCACCTAAATCTTACATTTTCTTTACAATGAGAAAAAGAAAATAAGTCCCTTTAATTTCTAGGCTTCTGTAGCTTGGGGTTGGGTGTATGTTTGCACCTGGTAGACTCATCTCTTGGATCCAAAATTATGTCTTATGCTACTCTTATTCTAAAATTTTATTTTATACAGATGATATGGCAGCTAGTTCATTAGTATAGCCCATATTTGATAGTCTGGCCATGGTTTGTATCATGCTTTAGAAAATGGATTCATTGTTTTCATTAAACAAAAGTCAGATTTTACATTCTAACTGTTCACTGAGATCCTCCTTTCTATGTAATACAGTTATCATTCTCACATTTTCTGTTCTTTTTGATGCCTGAATTTTTAGTTTTCTTACACTGTAACAAGTATTGTTTGCACATAGAGTAGTAAGAGTATGTTTCATTCCTAATATTTTATGGAAGGCTATTCCTTTTCAGCTACTGACTTACTAACAGAATGATTTCTTGAAATCCTATATGATTTTTCTTTTTATTGCCAGATTTTAGTGCTTCACAATTGCTAGGGTTTGCTTATTCATCTGCAGTTCTCAGCAGAGGTAAATTATTTTGTTGGAGAATTGTTCTATCTAAATTAACTTACTGTTGTGCTTAGCAATCTAAAAGGTCATTGTTCTTTATGGATAATTGTGATGGTGACTGTTGCACAAAAACTTGCTCAATTTTATTTTTATACTCTGTTTTATTGGTATAAATTACTCATGGGAAGGTATGCTCATCAGAGACAGCTTTTTCTGCATGAGAGATCAATATATACAGATTTTTCTTCCTCCACTTTTCCTCTCCCTCCCTTTTTGTGTTTTGCCAAAAATGAGTGAGAATGAGAGTCTGGGTTTGGATGAAGCTGGGATTTTGGTTACTAGAAGGTGAGGGAGACTGTGATGGATTCCTTTTGTGTGTTAAGGGCAGATTTGTCCTTTGAAGAGTTTCTCAGTGTGAATCCTGTGTGTGTGTGTGTGTACACATACATGTAATCCATCTGAGATTTCCAGTGTGGAAACACTGTTCTCTGTGTGCTAATGATGCTTTAGTCATCCCTTTATTTTAACTTTTTTTTCCTTTTTGCGTATCTATTCAAACCTTCCCACATAAAGCATAATACTGTGCTTGTTAACTCTGCAACTATACCTCACCCTTAAGCTGCTTGTGGAAAAGTAGTAGCTAAAGGTCATGTGTATATACACTGTTTCATAGAGTTGACTGGATTTTCATATGAAAACAATTCTAAATATTTAGCAGCATTTATATGGCTCAGTGTAGCATAAGTGTTTCTCTGGAATGAGGTAATTAGGAACAGTTATGGCAAGACCAGTTATGTCAGCCACAGCTGAAGTGGTTCTGAGTGTTGGCTTTTGTGCTGGAACTTAGTCTTGAGTTTTCCCTCAAATATTACCCTTTTTCCCCTTTTCTGTAGAAGTTGAGAGGGAGGAGAAGAACATGGGTAGAAAATTCGAGAATGTAATTTACTGGTTTAGATAGCCCAAAAAATGAAAAGAACCTCTTTGTTTGACACAAGTAGCAGATATAGGTTGTAATTTGGTGAAGAGGTTCGCTTATCTCCTGAGTTAATTCCTTCTTATGAATGAAAAATCAGTGTAACACGATGAAAAGATTCCTGTGACTATCCCAGTGACTGGTAAGCTTTCACCACTCAAGGATATCTCAGCAGTCTTTTATCCCTGCTCAGAATATTCCTCTGACTTAAATTCAAAGTAGGAAATGGAATATTCTTGGATTAGTTTATTTAAGTGAAAGTAAAACTTGAAAACAGTTTTCTGAATGTTTGTAGTATGTAGCACATCTTCCAGAATAACCATTTTCTGTAGAACTCAATATCATTTAGCATGTAGGCGAATCACATGAATTGTTTTAGATGTCTGGATCAGTAGAACAACATGTCTAGACTTTCAGCTTGAAAATGTATCATAAAAACATGGTAGCAGGAAATTGGTTATTGCCTTCAAGAGTCCTGGAACTGTCTGTGCTTAGGGGATGTTGAAAGTGGTTTTTGCCAAAAGTTATTTCAAACCCTTTTTGAAACTATTTGAGGAAATAAAGTACAAATGCATTTTGATTAATGAGATATGATAATATCTCTCACACATCTTTTGTCTGCATGTCACTGTTCAGAGGCTATTTTCAATTTAATTTTTAAATTTTAAAATTTAATTTGGGAGACTTTTTTCCTAATTTCACTTCCTATATAGAATTCATATCTGAGACCAGGCCAACTGTTCTTCCATCTTCCTGCCTGCTTTCTTTTGTCTGTCACCATCATCATTTTAGGTAATTTGAGCTACTTATAATTCTGAAAAAATTTGAATGGGTTAGAAGTTATATTAAACTTTTACCAAATTTAAATCTTTAGAGCAAAAATTGAGCTCCATCACTGAAAGGATGGGAGAAGTTGGTGTTCCTATAACAAATGAAGAGAAATATTAGAAACTAGTATTTAGGATTTTGACTTTTGGAATATGAACATATGAGCAAATTGTATATAGCAATATGACCAGACTGTTTTGTATTTTTGTGGGTACAGATGTCATTTGAAGTATACAGTTCAGTCTTTCTTTGGAGTATTCTGATTTAGTTTTTTTTCCCTGGTCACTCTAAAGCATTGCATGCATGTGGCTTTATTGAAATAATACAAGGTTTAAACAATCAGTTTGTCTACAAAGTTCATAGCTGTGTTTTAGATTCTATTATACAGTAAGATTCTCATTTTAACTTGCATAATTGAGTACTGATCTATATTTCCTTTTTATGAACATACAGTTTTACTCTGAAAAGTGACTGAAAATGCTACTTCACAGATTAACTAGTTGCTCAACTAAATTTTAGTTTTAAGTTATTTAGATTTCCAACTGTTAGCTTTTTTTCTCACTTTACTCATTAGTATTGCAAGTCAATTGGTCAGTATAAAGGTATGAACTGGCGGCTTTTTTTTTTTTTTGCACATCATCAACAAAAGTTTCCAAGTAGTTTTATCTGATTCTGTGTTGAAGAGGCTGTGCAGGTAGAGGAACTTAACACTATTTTGGAAAATTCCATGTTGCACAAAGGGAACAACTTAACCTTCCTTTCTGGAGATGAAGTGCAAGAACTAAAGAGTACTAACTGACTGCTAAATACAAAGCTGAGTTTGTAAGTAGGTAAGAAAAATGCAGCTGTTAATTAAATTCAGCCCATCTTGCTATGAAAATTTGTGAGAAATACCAAATAGGAAATCTACAATACCACTTTGAGTGTCACTTTGCAGAGTACAGCCATATGTTGCTTTATTTCATTTGTTATAACAATAACTTGTTTTGTTTTTTTTTCAGCAAACAAGAGCATGACTCTTCAGATGAAACAAAAGAATGCAATAGAAATCAAAGTAAAAAAGTTGCATCTGTTGAAAAGAATGAAGAAAACTCATCACTGTCAAATGCAGAACATGTTCCTAGTTTGGAGCTCCTTGACAACAGCTCAAAGAATTCTTTGCATGAGAAAGGAGCATGTTGTGATTCAGATAATAACAAACAATTAGTAGATGAGAAACAAAAATCTATTCATGATGAAAGTGAGTTGAAAACTTGCCAAAGTTCAGATAACGTTATTTTGAATGAGCAGACTAAAGTACGTAGCTTGGATGAAACTACACTTTCAGCAATGAACGCAAGGGACTTAAAACTAACATTGGGTCAAGATGTTAGTTTTGAGCAGTTCTTGAGAAAAAGAGATGAACCCGAATCCATTAGTTCAGACATTAGTGAACAAGGCAGTATTCATTTGGAGCCTTTGACTCCATCAGAGGTACTAGAGCATGAAGCTACTGAAATTCTTCAAAAAGGTAATGTTGCACCTTCATCAAAGAAAGCTGGACAACTCTCTGAACAAACAGATGAGGCTTCTAAAGAAAGCAGTCCCAACAGAATGGAAACAACTGTAAACAAGACAGATGAAAATGAAGCAAGCTGAAATTTTGTTAATTTTATTGTTTGTTATAAACAATGGTAAGAAAACCATGGACCATTCCTGATGAGTGTGCTCACTGATGCTAATTATTAAAAATAAAAAGGGGAGGGGAGCGGGAAGGAGAGAAAGAGACTCTAAAGGGAAGTTTTCCATATGAAGATAGCATGTATGTGTATGTACAAATGAACTGACTAAATTTACAAAAGGTAAAATGTTCAAATATATCTTCCTGTCTCTTGGATGTGATATATCTTATTAGATTGACATTTGAAAGGAGGAGTAAATTCTAATTTTTATAGTTAACTAGCCCATGATAAGGTGATTTGTTTGCCAAGAAAATATTTTTTTAAATCCTTCAGTGTGAATATCACTAAACAGTGGAATTCAGTATGAATTCGCTTCTGATGCTGAAAAGGAGCACACTTGTAATGATGGTTATTGGTCTGCTGATAATTTGGGTAAACATAAACCTTTGGACTTGGTGTCACATTCCTGTCTGTAAAAGCATGTAAACAGAATTATATGAATCTATGCACCTCTGTACAGGTGTAATCCTGCCAGGCTGTAAGCTTACCTTAATAAACTTTCAGTGAAAGTGGAATTATTACAATAAAAATATATATTTGTGGGGTTTTCAGTGTGCAGGCTGTGCAGAAATACCGAACATAATTGTATAAAGTAGAACATACTGCTGAAAGTATTGTAGCTGTTAGGCTTTTACCATTGTTTTAATTATTCTTAGCCATAGACCCGTAGGAATGGTCTGTAAGTCACACCAAAGTACGGTTTAATGTAAAAACTGTTCTAAGCAAAAAGAAGGAAAACCCCAAACTGGAAACACCAATAGGCATGTATTCTGCCATTTTGCAGCTGCTACTGGCTAACTGTTACAAGAAGGACACAAGGGCATATAAAGTAGAATTGTACAGTTCAATTTCAGGACTTTTTGTACAAAGTCTAAATTGTGTACAGGAAGATGGCTGCTCATTTTGGTTTTGTTTTTTTGTTTTTTTGTCTTCTAGTTAGCAGCTAGCTGTAGGAATGCATATATTAACAGTAGCGTGCTTTTATGACTTCATTGCTCCATTTGAAACATTCAGAATGTGCTTTTGACTTACAGTTTTGTTTCTAATGAATGTTAAATGTTTTGAACAGCTGTTAAAGCACTGCTGTAAATTATTACTTTTTGAGTAAATATTTGCAACAAAATTTTTGTCTTTGTGCATAATTTTATGCTCAGCTTGAAACTTTGGGCATAGTCTTTCCACATTTTTTTTAAAGATTTAGTGACAGTTCCCAAAAACTATTTCATTTTAAAATTGTGAATTTGAGACTTATGTGGGGTTTTTTGTTTGGCTGTGGTTTGCTGGGGGGGTGGGGTGTTTGGTTTTTAGAACTAAATGAGCAAGTGCCTATGCATAAACCTATTTTTGTAGCTGTGTATTGTGGTAAGATGTGCTAACTTTTCCAGATTACATAGAGATATTTTTCTGGGCCATTAGCATGCAGCTGAAGTCTGCTCTGTCCTCCTAGGTTAACTGGGCTCAGCTGCTAAATGAGTCTAATCAGCAACAGTATTAAAATTTAGAGACCATCCAGCTTATTGTTGGAGCCTCTAAATAAACAACATCAATCTCAACATCTCAAAAATTTCTTCAAACTCTAAAGAGTTATATGACTTAAATTTTGAATTGCATCCTAATTTTCATCTATGCAGGTTTAGAAGACTTTTAAAAAGAAAAGTGGAACAGTTTACGTAGTTACAGCTCCTCAAGATCTGCCACTTTAAGAACTTCAAATAACAAGACACACGAAAAAGCTGAGAGCAATAAGTTGCAGCATTCTTTTGTTTTTTAAAGATTTTAGTGAAATTGTTAACTCAAGGCATGATTAATGACTCTGATGTCTTCATACATATACACGTGGAAGATTGTAAAATACAGCATCACAATGAGGACAGTTTAAAGGACTTAATCAGCTATGGAACTTGATGTGTATGCTACTGAAGGAGTTCCTGAATGTATCTGTGTTTAAAGCCAGAGAAATCTCTATAGTATTTTTAATCTGATTGATGATCTTCCATGCAAATAATATATTTTGAATAACACTCTGATACGTGGTGTTGGAAAAGATTAAGTTCAGCTGGAAGCAGTTGTATGATACTTGCTTGTAAATTACTCACATTTGTCTTTTATTATGCAATTAAATTTTTAAAACATTTACTATTTTAATAATAAGAATTTGGAAGAATTTGGCCATGCACTGTTGAGAAAAGTTGGAAAATAAAACTCAGATTGAAAAATCTGCATATTTGGCAGAAGTATATATATATTCTCAGATACTTAATATGTAAAGCATTGTTTGTTTCCAACAATGTAAAGAGCGCTTATACAAAAGGTAATATTAGGTATAAAACACCCAAATATCTAGTAGCCCTTCCAAAGGAAGAGGTGAGAGAGAACTGGATTGTTCTAGCAAGACCCATCAGATAGCTTTAAATAGGCAAGTAAGGTATATCATGAAAACAGTGGCATGGTATTTTTGTGAAGGAGAACAACTAAAATTCACTACAATTTTTCCTATATGAAGTAATTCATTTGCTGACTAAACACTGTAGGAGACTGCGTAATTGTGAAGATTAATCTCTGTCATGTTATTTGGGAGGTTTCCTAGAGATAAGTTAAAGTGGTACTTTTGGCTGAAGTCAATCCAGAAGATCAAGTTACATTGAATGTACTTTAAGTTATTTGAACGTAACTGCATATAATTCAGTTTTTTGAGTCATTTAAAAGTTTTGGGGGTTTTTTTACCCATCCAGCCATCAGTAGTTCTTATTCTGTGCCACCTCTCTTTTTGTACTTGGGAAGACATTTTACCTGAAGTTTTCATTGCCTTACCAAAAAACAGTAACTTAAAGTTAATTCTTGGTATCCATACTAGAATCACAATTTCCCCTCATCTCAAGAGGTTTACCATATTTGTTTGAATAACCATTGCAGGTTGTTTAGATAACATTAATTTTTAAGGAAATCATATGCCTTGTGTATGCTATCTTCATTATTTGCATTTAATGGAAAACTGTTGTCATTATTAGTTTATGGTCAGTGAGTGTTCAGTCACTTGGAGCTTCAAGTGCAGCCAATGTCTCAGTTTGCCTTGTGCAGTTTGGAAAAGAAACTTTGGCTTACCTGCGGTTCAGTTTTTCTTTAACAGAATGGATGAGTAAACCCAGGGGAAAAAAAAATCAGATCAAATCACAGTGCATACTGAGTTCTAAGTATTGGATGATGTATTTTAAACAAGAACATTTTTATAACAAAACCACATCCGCTTTTCCTGGAAATGGGGAGAGAGAAAGAATAACCCTTGGCAATAGGTGTTAAATCACATTCTGTTGTGTTTTACTGCCAGAAGGCATTAGAAACTGAAGGTCAGGGTAGAGAATCCCGAGTAACACATGATATTTTACAAAACCTTAAATAAAAGATCTTCAAGCTTTTCTGCAGGCTTTAAGCATTGTTATTTATATGCTGGCATGTAGAAAGCAGTTATTTTTTTATGCTGTAGGATATGCTAATATTCTACCAAAGACTGTGGCTGTAGGCTGTCACAGTAGAGTTTTGTTAGAGACTGTTTAGAAATTTTTGTATAGGGCGAATTTTATACCTGATTGTTCTCTTTTTGTTTTCATTAGTGTTTGATTTTTTTGAGGCTTGTAGCTTATTTTGTCTAGTTGCGTCCTGCATTTTTTGATGTATGCTTAATATGCCTCTAATAAAAAATAATTGGTAAGTATGTTTTACGATTACTTGAATGATTTGTGCTTTTAATAAAACCTTTATGCCAGTTTTAATGCAGCTCAAAAGGGCAGTTCTCAGATGAACCCCAGCATGTCATCTTCTTTGAACATAACATTTTTACACATAATTTTCCCCAGTAATTCAGTGCTAAAAGGGAAAGTATGTTAACTGGTATTTCATATTAGTTTACAGACACTATGCAGAAAGTTCTTTGCTATGTTCCTTTGAGTTTTGAATCACTGTTCTAGCTCTGACACTTAATTAAAATTTTGGTTTCAGTCATTTCATTGACCCAAAGTAACCACGTTAAGTTGATGTTTACTGTATTGCACCAGATTAAAAAAAATGTGGAAAATGTTTAGCTGTGAAACATTTCATTTTGAGGGAGATTAATGTAGTTGTTATGCCTGCAAGGTCCTATAAAGCTAATGTGTTTATTGATGTAAAAATGTGCTGAGTTTGTTGAGGTTTTTTTACTGTTCAGAGTGTTATTTGAGAGAGTCTGAGGTTTTTGTGACAACAACAAGGATAACTGTGATTTTATAAGTATATCTGCATTTAAATAAGTAGCATTGCTAAATGAATCCCTTAGGTTATGAATTTAATGTAAATAAACTCCATTTCATATTTTAGTTCACTGAATACTCAATGTTAGGCATTTAATTCCAAAGAGCTGTTTTCTCCATAAATTTTGTTGGGGTAGCATATAGTGGTATCTTTCTTTATAAAGAAAGTTGTCCCATACTGATAATGTGGTAGCCTTGAAAATGTAACCTTCATATGTTTTGCTCATAAATAGTATAATTAAGAATTAATCCTTTTGACTAAAGGAAAGTAACCTGCAGGTCTGTTTCTTACAGCCTCTTGTGACTTTTTCATTCTGATCCTGTCATGATATTCTAGCAACAAATTGAAGTCCTTGCTTTCCTCTCTTTTAAGTGGAACATGAATACTTAATAGGTTTTGAATTGTATATATTTGAATTACCTGGGTGTTTGCTGCCTGAAATGAGGGTTGAATTTTTGTGTACCGGTTTCTCAGGTTTTCAGCTGAGATTTATGGCTTTCCATTTAATCTTCTTGGAAAGACTTCACTTCTTGAAGCTAGCAAGTTGATGGCATGTGGTGTAATTTTCCTAGGCTGTTTAGTGAAATGCAGTGTACTTGTTAGATACTGTTTAAATGGGTTCTTTTTCCTTATCACAGTCCTTTGTAAGATCTTGGAATGTCGTCTTCTTTTGACAGTTGGTGTATAATCAACTTCTAAGTTGTTGGCTGGTAATGGAAAGCAAAAGACACTTCTACAGAGAAGAAGCAAAAGTAAGTTCAGAATTTTAATCCTGAATAGTAGTGTGCAACATGCAGGTCAGGTTGGTTAACCTGCTTTATCTGCTAGAGTGAAGCTTTTTTTTATCGATTCCTAAATTGCAACTTGAGGAACCAGAGCAGTTGGGCCAATCCAACTTCAGTGGCTCTGAAAGATAGCAAAGAGCTCTAGATACCCATATTGGATCAGAATTCCCAAAAGGAGCCTAAGGCAACATGTTCATGCTAGGGAAGCTTTTCTTCTGTTTGTGTGACTTTCCACTCCTGTGTTCTTTCCGTGGATGCCCTCTTGAGACCATAGAAAGACCAGTTATCCTAGGGGAGATGAGTGCTTGTATGATCTTCCTTGATGGAACCAAAAAGAAGCTTTTAACACGTGGCTTGTATGCTGGTTTATATTAATATAGTAAAATATGCCTTACTGTTGAATAGTGGCATTGTATTAATCTTTGCTAAATAATGAAGTTCTGTCAGTTCTTCTGAAGAGTTTAACAATATAGCTTGTCACTTTTCAGTGACCTTTGTCTGAGATAGCAGGCTAATTAAGTACCACAGCAGAAAGTATCAAGGCAGGCTGTGTCATCCTCTGTTTTAAGGCTGATAGTGACCTTTCTTGAGGATGACCTATGAAGTTTCTTCAAGTTTGTTATAAGAGAAACTTCAATGCACAGAACTTCTATTGTTTATAGACCTCCTTGGAACTTAATATTGATTCAGCTTCAACTAGTAAGACAAACTTACTAAAGCAGAACATACTTTTTAATACCCTAAAACTTATTTCTTTTTGCTAAAAGGAATCAGTTGCCCTCTGGGTTCCTCAGAAGGCAGTCTTCGTGATGTAAAAGGAAATGGAAGTATGTGGTGGGTTGACCCTGGCTGGATGCCAGGTGCCCACCAAAGCCATTCTATCACTCCTGCCCTCAGCTGGACAGGGGAGAGAAAATATAACAAAGGGCTTGTGGGTTGAGATAAGCACAGGAGAGATCACTCAACCAATTACTGTCATGGGCAAAACAGACTCAACTTGGGGAAAATTAACTTATTGCCAAGCAACCAGAGTAGGGTAATGAGAAATAAACCCAAATCTCAAAACACCTTCCCTCCACCCCTCCCTTCTTCCCGGGCACAACTTCACTCCCAAATTCGCTACCTACCCCCTCCAGTGGTGCAGGGGAACGGGGAATGGGGGTTATGGTCAGTTCATCACACGTCATCTCTACTGCTCCATCCTCTTCAGGGGCAGGACTCCTCACACTCTTCACCTGCTCCAGTGTGGGGTCCCTCCCAAGGGAGACAGTCCTCCACGAACTTCTCCAACGTGGGTCCTTCCCACGGGCTGCAGTTCTTCATGAACTGCAGCATGGGTCCTTTCCACAAGGTGCAGTCCTTCAGCTCCAGCGTGGGTCCCCCATGGGGTCACAAGTCCTGCCAGAAACCCTGCTCCGTGGGCTCCTCTCTCCACAGATCCACAGGTCCTGCCAGGAGCCTGCTCCAGCGCAGGATTCCCATGGGGTCACAGCCTCCTTTGGGCATCCACCTGCGCTGGTATGGGGTCCTCCCTGGGCTGCAGGTGGAGATCTGCTCCACCATGGACCTCCCTGGACTGCAGGGGGACAGCCTGCCTCACCATGGGCTTCACCACGGGCTGCAGGAGAATCTCTGCTCCGGTGCCTGGAGCATCTCCTCCCCTTTCTTCTTCACTGATCTGGGGGTCTGCAGTTGTTTCTCTTACATGTTCTCACTCTCCGGCTGCAGTTTCTGTGCCCACTGCAACTTTTTTCCCTTCTTGCATGTGTTATCCCAGAGGCGTTACCACTGTCGCTGATGGGCTCGGCCTTGGCCGGCGGTGGGTCCGTCTTAGAGCCGGCTGGTATTGGCTCTGTCGGACACAGGGGAAGCTTCCAGCAGCTTCTCACGGAAGCCACCCCTGTAACCGCCCTGCTACCAAAACCTTGCCCCACAAACCCAATACAAAGTACAACCTTTATTTAAAATACTGTAAACATACCAAAGTTTTTCCTCGCAAAACTAATGCATATTACTTGTGGATGGGAATGTAAAATAATCCACTATGTCCAGAACTCTTCTTCTTCGTAGTATTTC